CAGCCGAGAAAGTAGAAATTAGTTACTCCCGGAGAGGTTACTGAAGAAATTTAAATAAAAAATACTTGTCACGGAGACAGTCAGAAAAGAAGTACCAAGGAAAGGAATAGTCAAACTCACAAATTTAATTGATACAACTTTTAGGCTAAAACATGTTCTAAGAGTCTAATTTTCAAACCAGAAAAAAGACAAAAAAACAAAGTCTTGCTACCACGTTCAAAACTCTTCACGAAGCTATTCTTGTAGAACTCTAAGAAAAAAATTTCAAAATAGACCAGGTATCCAGAAAAAGAGATATACAAGAAAAAGTGTAGGAAGACAGAAGTATGTTCAGCTCTGTCATCGAGGTCTAGCCCAAGCCTTTGATAAGGGTTGCTACATGGGACTCATAAATAAATTAGGACAAATTATATCAAAATTCTTCAGATTGAAAAGTAAACTAAATACTATACTTAAATACAGAAGTACCGAAAGGAAGTATAACTGGTCCTGTCTCATATTTATTCGGGAAACACAAAATCAATTAAACAAGTTATTGACAAATGACTATTATGTCAATAATTTAAAAGAAGTTCAAGCTATCCAGACATATCATACTCTTAAGCTTCATAAAAGCCCATACATTTTAATGGACATTCTTGCAACTGACTGTAAGAATTAATTATATTAAAATATTTAAGAGTATTTGTTAAATTTGGTAAATTCTAAATCTTACCCACATATTTTTTATTAAGATTACGCAGTTTCGTTTAATTTACCTATCAACAGGTCTACAAAAAAGTACAATTTAAATAAGTTTAAAAGTCAAGTAATAAATTGAATGTTACAGGCAACCGTAAAACCATTTTGTATCCTTTAAGTAACATATTAGATTAAAATTATTAGAAATCAAGATATTAAATTTTATATACAAGGTAACTTTAAATTAAGTCAATGCATAGTAAGCCATAAATCTCCAGACCTTCGTTACAGTATGAAAATATGAATTTGGCTTGAGATTTTTTGTTAGAATACAACCATACTTTTCTGGATGGTGGTTGTGTTTTCTCATATTTGCTGATAAGTGGATAAATAACGTTTGTATGGGGCTACTACTTCCAAAAGTCGCCGCTAAATGACGCCACTTATCAGTGGTGGACAATTGAAACTCGGCTAAGTGGTTTGCGACTCGGCTAAATAATCCAAGAAAGCGGCCATCGTTTACGTGAACGTATATAGAACGATTATCGTTGAATAGAAAAATCCTGCGCAGTAGCAATGCCAAAAGGACCTAAGCGTCTATCTAGGTTATTATTGGTCGGATTTAAACGAGGAAAACGGTATTATTTAGAGAACGTGATATAGATTAACGTTGAAGAGAAAACTACTGCGCAATAGCAATACCAAAAGGCCCTAAGCGCGTATCACGGCTATTATTGGTCAGATTTAAACTAGTAAAACGGATTTACGTAGAAAACGTGATATATATTAACGTTGATTCAAATACTTTGATTACTATACGGTGCAAGAGAGAGGTCCAACACGCCCAACATAGGGCGCGGCCATTTTGATTCCTATGCCACAGTTTATAGCTAAAGAATCAGATCGCTCACTCTGCGTCGGCACTTTTGATCTCAATGTTCCAGTTTATACAATGCGCAACTCGGATAATACAATATATGATAACCGCCTATAATAAAACAGCAGTCTTTTGCGTATCCTGAATTTGTATCCCTGGAGTGGATGTTATTTTGGAACTTTCAACTGGTCCGAGTGAGATAACTGATTCTTTAGCAATAAACTGTGACTATAATATTCACTGACACTGACAACAGCAAGCAAAATATCAGATGCGTTAAAAATATTGCGCCAAGATGTAGGCAACACGTAATAAGGGATCAAAATGGCTGAGTTTTCTATCTCCTTTTAAAAGGCACTCAGAAAGCTGCGCAGTGCGACCATTCTCCGTATAGTAAAAGAAAATCAAAGTATGTGCGTTAAATAGAAAAATCCTGCGCCACCTAGCGGATAGTTTGGAAGTACTGCGCCCATACAAACGTTGTCTATATGATAAATCATGATTTTAAACAAGATTGTTTACTCCTTAACTAAATTCATATTTTTTTAACTCTGTTGTATAAAGTACAACTTTTTTTACATGTATGAAGTTTGTATTGAGTTTTACCTCATCAAGAATAACATTTTCTGAGCAATAAACAACAAAAAATTTGTCTATAAAGTGCAGACACAATGGGTGTGGACAAAATTAATATTAGGATATTACTATATGTGAGTGATTGGGATTAATTACGAAGGTTGGAAAGAAATGTACTATATTTCTCACAAAATCAATATATTGGCGATCATGGAGTCAATGTATTGAAAGGTAAAAATTATTTAATACTAAATTGAAAATTAAATAAAAAATTAAAATGTTTAAAAGGAACATTGGGGGAAGTTAGCAATAATTTGACTTACCATGACACATCCATTACGGATAAGCTACGTAATTTTACCACATAAAGATAAAAGATCACTGTCTTAAAAATAATGTCCGAGAGATTCTGTTATATTTTTAAGATTAAAAAATTCAAACTAAACTAGAAGTACCTATGGAAGGCTGGAGGAACCAAACAATATAAAAATATACTTTGCACGATAAAAAACAAGTTACGAACAAACATTTTTTTATAAAATCGGAACAAGACAAATTAAAAGTAAAATGGGGTGAATTTATTAATTAGGTTTTAATAAAGCGATAACAAAATAAGTGGAAATAACTGACCTACCACTTATCAAATATGTTACCGACTAGAAGTTAGGTAACTGTAATCTAGTGTAGGAAATCTACCTAATGTTTACTGAAAGTAAATATAGATGACTAAAGAAATAATAACGAAATCTATTATTAAAATTTAATGCAAATAAATTGTTTTTGTTAGAAAATAAGGACTTTCCTTTACAAACCTTATACTCTATTACTATATTGTTGTCCTTTAATTCCCTCCTACGTAATAATATTCCAGATACGCGTGTTTTTATGTTCTTTGGAAGAAATTATTTGTCATTCTTTATCCCAAGAAATAATCTATGGAATCATTTTCTGATCTTTGCCGCATAAGTATTTTATGTTGCATATCCAAAATGCTTAAAACATTTACAGACAAACAGATTAGAAAATATTTATACAATTTTGATCTACTTCTATTTTTTCTGGTTTTCATAGTAGTTTTAGCTGCACTACAACATTACTTAATGTTGCAGATGATTACAGATTATGTTGACAATTTTAATTCTCAATTACTCAACAACTTTTGATCTTATTCTCTTCTTTTGGATCTTTTAGTTTTTTCTGGATTTACAAGTAATATTATTAAATTCTTCAAAAGTTATCTAAATAATTCAAGCCAGGCTATTGGCATAAAACAAAATACCTCTTGCTTTTCTATTATTAATTCTAGTACTAGATCTATGTATATGTCTTAATTACCAGCTACTATTAAAAACAGTAAGATTCACACTTATGCAGATGATACGCAGCTATATTACTCTTTTTAAGGGACAAATCTTCAGGATGCTTGTAATATTATTAATCATGACCCACTGTCACTCGATCGTTTATCTGATAAGCATAAGCCCCTCTTAATAATTTATTTAGTTCTTTGATCAGCCTGCTGCAAGAAATACTGTAAATATTAGCTAGCTATACATATTGACAACTTACTACAATTTTGATCCATATGTCAGTCATTACATAAAGGTTTTACTACAAGTTTAAAATTATTGTACTCTAATAAGAGTTTACTTAATAAAAAAATTTAAATAATGCTGTGCAATTAACTAGTTTTATTGAATGCAGACTACGCAAACGTGATTTATAGACCAATTTTATTAAATAGTTTGCAAAAAATGCAATATCCATGTGTTCGTTTTACTTGTGGCTTGAATAGAAGAAATCTTATTTCGGCTCAATTAGAAGAAAAAGGCTTACTTAATAATAGTATACTTACTAGTATACGGAATACCCTTTTAAATTTCTTAATTAATAAAATAATGTATTAAGTTAAAATAAAAGTTTAAAAGATACTATTTATTATATTTATATGACAAAAGCATCTCAATATATTCATGTGAATTTTGAACCGTAACAATCACATAATATGTTATGTAAATATATTTTGTCTGACACCAGGACTAAACAAAACATATATATGTCACCTCGGCTCCTTTCCGCGCCGCCAAAAGAAGGCGAAGGAGTTTGAACTTTGGAAAGAGGAAGAAGAAAAGCACTCGGGGGCTTTATGGAGATGAGAGGGTAATTATTGTATGTCATTGTCAGTAGTTAACGAGTTAACGGCAAACTCTTTACATTAACTAACTTTCCGTGATTTAAACAGGTAAAAGTTCCTGTTCAAACTGTGAAATTGAGAAAATTAAAGTAGTGGATGTTCTATCCTGTTTTCTCAAAATTGGATGTTTCGTTAATTGCTTCCGAGACATGCGGATCCGCTCGAACCGCGCTATGTAATGAAAATGTAATTTTCCCGGGAGTTTGATGATACTAAAGAAGAAGCGGGGTGCCGTTCTGTTTTCGCAAACATTTAATAAAATGCTAGTATCTTTCGAGTATCTGCCGTTAGCCTTTTTGTTAGATATTTTCGCAAAACATTTATGAAACCCAGTTAATTAAGACTTGTAACCCGCGGGCTATAAACAATTTAAATTCACATTGTGTTGGTATTTTTGTTAGGGAAATTATATGATAGAACCTATAAAACAAATTAAATGTTATGATAATTAGTTTTAACACAATAAAAGAACGACACTGTAACATTGTAAAACCAAATGTTGACAGTAGTAAGTAATTCAAGACAACTTATACATGAATATTGCTTTACCTCGTATTCTCCTAATTTAGCATCTAGTGACTGTTTAAAAACACGATGAATAGAAAAACTATTAGTCAACGAAAAAAATTCTTCTATAATTTTTATTAATTATTAATTAAAAAAAAAACTTACCTTCTGTTGACGGCTGGGTTGATGATCCCATCATAATTTGATCATTTGTGACGTCTTTAACATCTTGAACTAATATGCAATTTGAAGAGTCTATATTTGGCTTCATGGAACTTACAGCTAAAACAAAGAGAATTCATTTGATTAGTTCAAATATAACTCCTGAACACAGTAGTAGCCAATACTTCAGCCGATTTTGTATGTTTATTATTAATGAATTTTATCAATATCAATAAACATTGTTATTTTTAAATGAAATAAATTATAATTCTCAAATGCGACTAATTTAAGAATAAACAACAAAGGAGAAAAAACTCAAAGTCCATGTCACAGAAACAACAAGCAACCATGTTTATCCTAAAATCAACTACTTGCTTGGTTAATAGGTGGTATCGAAGTATAATAGGATACCTCTGTTTTACTACAACCGAATGCAGTTTAGCTCACCGCATATGTTACTTATTACTTCCTCCACTAGAAGTCGTTCATACCGTAACTTATCAGCAGATCTGTAGAGTCCTAGTGCAAATTTGACTATCATACTGATGTAGTTATGCATAAAAGAACCAAGCCACATTTAGTAATTATTGTATTAACAGCACCATGTGATATAAAAATTATTAATCTCCAATACGCAAAATAGTACCAAACCCTTAAACTGACTGGCAGCGGCATCTCTACGAAAATTCCCATAAGCGATTTATAAAAGCAGTAGAAAGAAATCTACATAAAGAACTCAATATACTTGGTTCTTTTTTGCAAATTTTATTTTTCACCTCGTATTTCATTTGGTGTTTGTTTTGTGTGTTTCGTGTGTGTTGTCGAGGATAGTGTATGCTCAAATTAAAACAATCTTATAAAATTTAATATGTCTACTACATCAAGAGGCAAATACTTAGTGGAATTGGCACAAAAGGTAGAAAATTTGGAAAAATAATAATGTAATGTCAAATTCTAACCTCACTTTTATAAAAATTTTAGAATAAAATTGAACCAGAAAATTCTTTTGTAGATGAAGCTACAGGATTTTCTGATGATAGTGTAGCTGATGCCCGTTATGAGCCTCATCATCAGAAGCAGACGTGGAGGATGTACATGAGGAAATTCCTATTCCAGAAAAAGTAGCTGCTGCAATGCAGGGCGGGGTTTCTATTACAAGAAGACCATATAGAGGAAGGAAAAGAAAATATGAAAATCAGACACGTGTGATAAAGAAGAAAAATAAAAACAGCAACAAATCATATTTTAATTATAAAGGAGTTCACATTAATCCGAAGGAATTTGAAAACTACGAATGTAGAGATCAATGTCATGAAAAGGTTTCTGTAGAAGAACAGCATACTTTTTTTTTAAATATTGGGAACTAGGTTCGTATGAGGCTCAAACCGCCTACTTGGGTACATCAATAACCGAACAGCCTACAAAACGTCAATATACCCAACAGAAAGAAAACCCAAAAAGAAAATTTACCAGAGTTTATAAAATAAATGGTACCACTGTTTGTAGAGATTTATTTATTAAAACACTATCTACAAAACGTGTTCATACCGCTCTTTTAAAAATAAAATCCGATAGTATTGTAGATAAAAGAGGAAATCGAGGTGGTTGCAATAAAATATCTAATGAGCGATTCAATGAGGTTATTAATCACATTAAAAAAATACCGAAATTTAAATCACACTACAGACGTGAAGAAGCACATGATTTTAAGTATTTAGAAAGTCATATGACTATACAAAAAATGCATCGACTATATTCTGAAGAAGTTCCTAACCCTCTGTAAGTTATAAAAAATATAAAAGAATTTTTTATTCCAATTTTAATTTGAGGCGTAAGCCTTTAAAGAAAGATACATGAAATTTGTGTGACAAAAAGGATGCTGCTATAAAATCAGCAAAAATAATGAAGACAAAGAAAAATTCACCCAAGAGCATACCACTCATTTAAATTATCAGGAAGAAGCCAGAAACAAAATGAACGATGACATCCAAAGAGCTAGGAGAGATGACACTCTAGAAGAACTTACCTTTGATATGGAGAAAATTCTCCCATTGCCGAGGATTCTAACTAATGTCATATTTTATAAAAGGCAAATAAAGCTTTTTGCTTCATATGGGTAGAAGGAAGTGCTGGACGTGGAGCTCAAGAAGTGGTCTCTTGTTTGCTAAAGCATATTGAATTGCATGTTCCTGAAACTGCGAAAACCCTAATACTCTGGTCAGACTCCTGTGGTGGGCAAAACAGGAACATAAAAATAATTTTATTATTAAAAGTTGCTCTTGAAAACCATCCATCACTGGAGACGGTCTCTTTGAGATTTTTAGTGTCAGGACAAAGTTTTTTAAAAAATGATAGTGACTTTTATGATATAGAAAAGGCTCTAAAATTTCAACAGAAAATCTAAACTGAAGATGATTATATAAATATTATAAAAGCTTATAGAATGTTACTAAAATGGAGAACATAGATTTTCTTGGTACAAAAGATGCAGAAAAAATTATTACAAATAGAAAGGTTGATATTTCCGGAGAAAAAATTAATTGGCTACTGGAGCGGCACTCCGTAACTAGAAACATAAGAAAGGCAAGAGATCTTTTCTCTATCCCGACTTCTTTTGACGTTTTCTATTCTGTAACTCTCTTCGACTGCTTACGATTAAACCGAACATGTACGATAGCACGGAAAAAAATGTGACTAGAAAATTTTACTACAATGTTGTAGTAGTAGACTTTGAGTTTAGTGGAGTCTGCCGACTATAAAAAATTCGTTTGCATACATTAACAGAATTTAAAAATGTGTAGATATTCAACTAGCAAAAACGGTAACATCATCTGAATTTATAAAGCAAAATTAAAACTTGCTGTGAACCTAGTTATCTAGACAAAGGCGGAATTATAACCAGGACTGATAGTTATTGAAGGAAATAAATTCCAATTCTCAACTGTGACCATGTCACAGAAAAAACAAGCGTGGTTTATTATTACTATTATTGGTAAAAATACGAACATTTTTTTTTAATAGGTGTCAAATTAAAACCACTCAAAATGTTTGTATGCCTCTTTACAAAAAGAATTACGTGTAGACTAAATGGAGCTTCACAGGAATTCTCATAGCAGGAATAGAAGTTACCAGGAAGAATTATACTGGAAGGAACATAGTCATCTATACAAATAGCACACAAGCACTATTTATTCTAAACAGACCACGTATTTACTCTCTTATTCTCTTACGAAACTTTGGCCGAAGTATTTGGGTACAATGTGGTCACCTTAAGATGGATTTAAGGTCACGCCAGATCAAAAGGTAAACGTCTTGTTGAGCCATTTAAATACTTTTTGGACCTGGTCCTTCCATTGGACTGACAACATCGGTAGTGACAAATCTAATTAGAGAACAATTCCTTGTGAAAGGAAAGATGAAATTAAACAAAAAGCTGAAGAGTTGCCGGGGACCTCTTAAGTTATACTAACAATTCTACAAACAAAAAAATACTTATGATTAGACAGAATCTGCGCCTGATCACAAGTATTCCGACTGGTCATTGCCAAGTAAGAAAGCATATCCATATCATGGGGCTATCAGAGACCCCATTCTTCAGGGAATGCGATCAAGAAGATAAGACCATCGAGCATATCTTATACGATTGCCCGACTCTTTTATTTATTTGAAGATTTGTGTTCGGCGAGAATTAGCTTACACCGGCCGATATAAGAGAAGCACCTCTTGGCGACGTTGTAAACTACATAAAATCTGTAGGCTGGCTCACGAGCGAGCAGGTCTAAGTGCCGTTAGGTAACCCACCCTCTACATGGTCAAAGTGCTAAACAGATAAGGCTCGCAAGGGTAATATTCTTAGTTTATAGTTATACCAAAATTTTAAGAGCAATTTTAAAAACATGCCACTTTCCTGCACCATAAAAACTTTGCTTAGGTTTATTTGTATGAAAGCAGTGTGAACTGGTACCTTCAAAAAATGGCAATCCTAACAGGTTTTTTGATGTTCAAAGATAAAAACAAGTGATTTATTTAATTGGCGTTGCGAGAAGCGAATAACACCTTATTTGTAGATACACAATACCCCTTTCGGAATCAAATAATCCAAAATCGCAGGCTACTATAGCAGTTAATAATAAAAGATAAGCCTAGCGAACTCCTAATACAACATCGCAAATTATTTAAGAAAAAACAGTCTTTGCCTCAGAATGGATTTAACACTGTAAGTCTAGTAGCCATATTCTACGTCAACTGGTTAAAAGAGTACGTAAAAAAACATGTACCTCCATAGGCGCCGAATCCCCGAGGCTCTGGGTGCGCAAGCACCAGAGCAATTTTAAACAGGGTGCGGAGCACCCATAGCACAACGAGGACAAAAAGTGTCAATAAGTGAAATGAAGAAGCTGTCGTGGCCCAAGTTGGTATAGCGACAGATGCCTCAATAAAATATTATCGTTCGGAGCTGCATTTTTGTGATAAAAAAGTACCGTGACTTGTCATAGACAACGTGTTGAACTTGCACTTAAGGGTTTATTATTCTTGGTGTATAAAACCCTATAACGTCAAAAAAGAAAGATAAATAACGGTCAACAATTATCAAGACAAGATCTTTGTATATATGCCATTGACCAAATGCTTGAGGGAAAAAGAGAGAACATTTGAAAGTTGCTCCCGAATAAGCACCGTTAGAAAAAAATGTTCATTTAGAGTTAGAAACAGCTCTCTAGTATTGCTGGCGAGAAACCAGATCATCTACTAAAAAACGCTTGGACCCATCAATTTTGTTTTTAGGGGGAAACATTGTTTTAACAGTTTCACCCTCTGAATGGAAACCCTTTATATCTTAAATGGAAAGGTTGGTCAAATGATATGTTATTTTGAAGGTATTTTTATACCTAGATAATAACCCCCGAGTTTTACATCGCTACTATATATGTAGCTCATACAGTGGCTTACCAAAAGTACAAAACCGGTTTAACATAATTTTTACATTATTATTAAAAAAAAAAGGAATTTTTTGTAACAATTCCACTTTTATTCCTGTGGCTTTCAATTATTGTTATAAGATGACATCCTTTGGTTACCGTAAAGTAGTAAGGTTTAGTTTATTTCGTTGTAGAGTCGGCATAAAAGTGGTATATCAGTGATAATGGTTTACTCTATTGCTGAAGGGTGCAAATAATTTCAGGGGTTATAATCCATGTAAAAATACCAGTGATGGCTGCACCGAGCATATAGGTTTGCCAGATATCCCGTTTTAGGTGGGAGCCTCCAGCCTATCCAGCAATTGGACAGTTGACAATACCTTTTTTTTTTCAAGAAAATTTTCATAAAATCAATTTTAAAATAGCTTTTTAAAAAAACGGTGGTGCCTTTAAATGAGGTGTGGAGGGTGGAAGAGGGGGAATAGCCCCCATTTTCCGCATAGAAGCCGGGCACCCAAAGCAATTTTTGAATTCCGGCGCCTATGTGTACCTCCACAGCCAATTACCTTAGAAAATAATGATATATCTTTATCTGATTTAACAATAAACGCATTCTCTTTTT